GAGTCAGGGTGTTTGGCATATGGAAAATTCTCTGCCAGTTCAGTTTTGGTTGAATTGTTTCTTTTAGGATATAAGCTTTAGTATTAAATATGTTAATTAGATAGAGTTAAAGTAGAGATTACTGTATTTAGTAATATCGAAAAACATAAGCAACCCTATTATAGGCAAACATCAGCTAGAAGAGCTGAGATGATTTTTATTTAGTAGTATTGTGAGTACATGAAAATGTAGGAATAATAGCTAGAGATTAATAGCACTGAAACAATGAACATCCTAAGAGTTAGCAACCGATATTGCGCTAAGAATCATTGTAACAGAGCAGATAGAAATTAGATAGGCAAAGTTAGATAGATTATCAGCTGGTGGTTTCCCACCTGCCGCAGCAAGCTGGCTGTTAAATGACAGAATCAGGTGACTAGACTCGAGGAGAGATAGGTGGGGCAGAAATTTGGTAGAGGTTAAATTGGCTACGAATTAGAGTTCATTTTTTGCTGCGACTTGGAGCCTGTATTTATAGTGATGTGTTCTATAGTATGACATTACTGATAGTTACATTGATGGGTCAGTCCATTTGCTCGATGCCTTCCTGATTCTGACACGTGATCTGATTGGGTCACAGCGGTCATGTGATAGCTGATAATAGGATATTGCTTAGTTTTTCGAATAGTTGACTCTGTGTCAACTTATATGAAAAACATAAGCAACTCTATTATAGGCAAACATTAGCTAGAAGAGCTGAGACGATTTTTATTTAGTAGTATTGTGAGTACATGAAAATGTAGGAATAATAGCTAGAGATTAATAGTGCTGAAACAATGAACATTCTGAGAGTTGGCAACCAATATTGCACTGAGAGTCATTGTAACAGAGCAGGTAAGAATTAGATAAGCAAAGTTAGATAGATTATTAGCCGATGGTTTCCCACCTGCTGCAGCAAGCTGGCTGTTAAATGACAGAATCAGGTGACTATTCCAAGTTGGTAGGAAGAGTCTGTCATAATGTAGTTGGCGTGCAAGGTTTATGCTTGGGGTACTAGAACCCAGTTGTGTCTGTATTTTTGGGCATTAAATATATATGAAATGTGTTATTGCTGTTACTGTTTGATATTATTATCTTTTATTGTTCAGTATTGGTTTTTTTTTTTTTTTTTTGTTATTATTGTGACTTCTTTGTGTGTTTTTTTTTTTTTTTTGTGTTTGGTGTTAGTTCATTTATTGCATGAAGATTCGTATTTCTTTTTGGTTGATTGTGCCGTGTGCTATATCCTGTTTATGTTTGATTAGCACATTCTGTTTATTGTATTGTTATATTGAATGGATCTGTTGTCTTGGCAGACTGTGGATGGGGATGATTCATTTCTTCATAACTGCTATGAATGCATTTGTTCGCTTGAGAGTATTTGCTTGGTTTATTTATTCATTTATTAATATTATTATTATATATATGTGTATTTATTTATATATATATGTATTATATATATCTTTTTTTTTTTTTTTTTGTATGTGCTACTCATCGTTTGTGTACTAGGTACCATTACCCCTCTACTATGCATCTATGGTTATTATCTGTTTATTTATTTATTGTGTATTTCTTGTAGCTTGGTTGTTTTGGGCTTATTTATTTGGTTGCTTGTTCACTTGCTTTTTGTACATCACATATGCATGTCACATTTGTTTCTTTTTTTTTTTTTTTTGGTGTATGTGTGTGTTGTTGCATAGATGTCAACTGCCATGTTAGTGCTGATTGGCCCAGATGATTCCAAATTGTAGTGGGGTCAATCAGAGTATGCTTTGGTGAGAATTGTTGCGATAGTTGCTAGGTGACTGCAAATGTATTTGTAGAATGATTCGGAGTCCTAGCGACTGATTTTTTGTATCAGAATGAGTTGCACACCGTGCATGACAAGTTCTGTGGTTCTGCCCGCTCGAAAGCTGTGTCCTGCCAGGTTTTTGTCTGGGAGTAGTTGCTTGAGTCTTGTGATGAACCAGTGTTTGGTGGCCCATGTGCCATCACTTTTGGCAAACAGTAGGTTGCTGTCATTGGCATATGACCCTTGTGTGCAGATGCTCATGTATGTCTTCAAGGTGCACACAGGGCACAGGGTATCATTAGTTGGGTGTATGATAAGTGATGTACGATTGGTGGACTTGTGCTTTTTGGTTTGTGCCAGTTGAATCGTTGCAAAGATAATGCTCCCAGATGATTCAAACTTTAGTGCAGCCATGGTTGGAATCTTGATTTCATCTGATTGATTGTTTGGTAGAAGCTCTCCTAGTCGAGTGAGACCATAAAAGGCTAACAGAGTGATGGCCCAGAACAGAGTGTCTACATTGTTGTTTGTGCTCAGTTGTTGTTAAATTCGTGCAAGGTGTTGTCGAGTAATGTGAGATTTCTGGTTGATAGGCTTATGAGTATGTGTGGCTTTGATGGTTTTCAGAAGTTGCAGCACTAGGGGGTTGGAATGAATGGGGCTCCAGTCATGGTGGTTTCTTGAGTGGTGATATTTAAGGGCTGAGAGGTAAGTCATGATAGTGGGGGTGTAACAGTCTTGTGAAGCAAAGTTATGTAGTTTATTAGAGAGTCTTGTGATACTGACCATACAGATCCATCATGGTTGGTCCATTGATTGGCTGTGGCGAGGGTTTCATATCGTTTGATTATGGCTTTGTATGTTTTGTTGTGAGGTTGTTTTATGTTAAGAAGTTGTGCAGCTTGGGCATCTAGTGATAAACTTGTACCAAATCATTGGAGGTTGGTGTTATGTGAATGAGAAATTGTAAGCTTGGGTTGTCTTGTTGGTGTGTTGCCTATTGTTTTAAGGATGGAATAGAAGAGATTAGTTCTTTGTATAGGTTAGGAATGTTGGGGTTCAAGTAGCATGTGCTAGGGTTGTGGGCGATGAATTCTCGGTAGCCATTACGGGATAATAAGTTTGCATCTAGATTGTGGATGCCGGGAATATGTTCAAGTTTTATGGCAAAATTGCCATGCATTTGTATGGTGTAAAGCTGGCCAATCAGATCATTAAATTTGGGGATTCTTGCAATATCCAGCATAGTACGCCTTAGCATTAGATAGGTTGTCTGTCCATATTATAAGCTTTTTCCGTTGCCATAATGAAACAAAGGTACATGCTGTGATTAAAGTGGTTAGTAGTTCTCTGGCTTGAATGTTTATTGAGTTCAGGTCAATGTTGTTTGACCAGGAAAAGGCTGTGAAATAGTTCTGAAACACAGCCCCTTCACCAATGTTTGATGCATCTGATTGCATTGGTTTGGTTATTTGAAAATGGAATTTTGGGTTCTCAGAAATCTCTTGGGCTTTGATAAAGTGTTGGATAAAGGGACGGCCTTGTGGGATAATCTAATATGCCCAGACTAGCAATCCTACTATAGATTGCAATTATTTCCGATAGCACTATTTTTTGTATAACCATTGAGATGTTAGAGTTGTTAGCTGTCTCTGCTTCTTAGTCGGTATTGATGCAAGTAGGGTGTCTGTGTCTAATGTTATGCCAAGAAAGGTGACACTAGTGCAAGGGCCTTCCATTTTCTCATATTTGTAAGGTATATTTAAAATATTAAGAATGCGAATGAATTGGTAAAGTTCGTGTTTGCCGTCTATAGGAGATATTATCAAGAAATTATCTACATAGTGAATAATTGTTAGAATGCCTTGTTGGCATGCTACCCATGTCAGAAGGTCAGCAAAACAGCAAAATATTTCTCCAGAGGCACGGTTTCCGAATGCCAGTACCTTGTCAAAGTATAGATCATTCCCGTTCTGAAAACCTTGCAATGTTTGATCTACAGGATGTATGGGAAGGATGCGATAGGCGTCTTTGATATCTATTTTGGATAGGGTGCAGCCTTTACCATATTTGTTAATCCAGCGAATTGCATGATTTATATTTTCGTATTTCGTAGCAAAGTCCAATTTGTCAATTCTGTTATTGATACTGTTGTAGGGTGGAGAAGACAGGTGGGAGATTACCCTATAGGCTTGGAGGTTTGTGTTTTTCTTTTCAACCAGGCCATATGGATTGATTTGAAACGAGTTGCAGGGTGGGTTATTAATATCAAATGGGCCACAGATGCGTTTGTTTGCTAACTCATTTGCAATGTATGCTATAAATGCTTGGGGGCCATGCTTATCGAAGGGAGGTTGTCTTGAATGAGTCTGGATCGTTCTTCTTTGAAATTGAATCTAAAACCTTCTTTGATGCCATTAATAATATACTCAATAAATGGGTGATTAAGATGTGATTTTGTAAGAAACTGAAGTGCTTGTAGATTAATTGGGGTTTGGACATTAAAGTGTGATGGATCTAACTGCTTTAAAAGACTTAGTTCATGATCAGACATTGGGGATTTTGGTGGTGGAATAGTAATTATCATTTCATTGACAGATTGGAGAATTGGTGTTTCTTGTGAGATAATTTTTCGTGAAAGATTGAACTGGGCTTGGTGTTTGAGAATTGCTACATTTGTTTGGACTACAGATTCTAATTAAAGATGTGAATTGGTAAGTGTATATTACTTTATTATTTGTGTATGTCTGCGTATATTGTAATGTATAGATATTGTGTTTGTATTGTGTGTTGTCTGTGTGATTGATGTGTTTCATTGTTACTATTGTTAATACTTGTATGTATGTGTATATGTTTTTTTTTTTTTTTTTTATATATATATAATCTATATGTGTTGCATGTTGCATTGTTGCTAAAAACACTTTCTATTTGGGTGTATTAGTTGCTAAGTGTATTATATATAACTACATGTTATGAGCTAATATATGTATCTGTAGTATCTGTACTATAGTGTTATATAGTGTAGTATACGAATAAATATATATGTATATATGTTATTGTTTTTTCTTTTTTTTGGCTATGGGTCTTTATTTGATAGGATTTTGGTTTGGGTTTTGGTTGTTTGATTGTCTGGGTGATGTGGGTTTGTTAAGAAAACATTTACATGATAGGTGGTTGGTTTTCCTGCATGTCATACAGGCATGAACCCATTTGCAGTTGTTATCGTCAGTACACCCTCTACGATTCTAGTTAATGCAGATTTGCCTGCTGTTGTGCCAGGTGATGTCAGATCTGAAAGTGATTGATATAGTGCTAGTGCAGTGTTTTTTTGTTGTTGTAATATCAAAGTTGTCACCTTTAGCTTCGATGTTTTGTTCGAGCAGAGTAGAGTCTCGGTTCATAGTCAGACCTAATCTTCGATCCTCATCATATGTGATGACTGCTGAGAACTCTTGTCTGATGCATAGCGTATTAATGTGATTATGATAGGCATTAAGTTCCTGTTCTCTGATGTCATAGATTATTAAGACTGCCTTTATGTATATTCTAAATGCTAAAAGCTATTCAGATATGTCATTAAATTTTTAAGTACGATTTCGTTTGCAAATAGCAATGATGCCTCCTTCAGATGCTTGCAGTGTTTGTTCATCTATGTTGTTTTTAAGACTAGTTTTTAAGTTTGTATAGGCAAACTCATGTAAGTCAATATAGTTGCCGACTGCTATAGTTTTCCACAAACAAGTTGGCAGACTTGGTTTAGTTGGTAGTATTTCAATAGACTTTTGTCCTTCGGCCCAATTAAGAACCTACCAAAGACAAATATGTTCCGTGCAGATGGCTTGAGGGTTGTTGAAACCATGTACTGGAGGTAGTTTAGTGTTGCTGTAATTGATAGAAGAGTACTTTTGTGTAGTTGTTTTTATTTTAAGTGTTCTATTCAGTAGAGAGATAGTGAGAGGACTGTCACAGACTGGTTTGTGTATTGTACTTTGCGAACCATTGGGGCTAATTATTAAGTTGTTAAGAAGAGGTGTTAGAAGGCAATTACCTTGCTGATTACTAGTATTGTTGCTGCTGTGTTTTTTATGTTGTTGGGTCTGTGGCACGTTGAACTCATGATTGTGTTGTGAAGCAAAGGGTTGTTCTTGTGAACTAGAGCTGTTATGTTGCTGTAGGCTGGTAGTGTCTTGATGGTGGGTCTGCTGAATTTGGTTAAAACATAAGTCTAAACATTTATTTAGTTTAGCGATCATGTTCTTGTGTGGCTTATTGTTTTGGTCAATGTATGACTTTATTGCTGTAATTATTGTATTTGATGATGCTTAGCATGCTGTATTGATGTATGCCTTTGTATTACTATCAATTTTGAAAAGTCAGTTTCAACTGATGTGCTGCTTGCTAAACATGCCTCTGTCTTGTCTTAGTTGATGTTCTTGCTCATGTTAATTCTTGCAGCTACTACTTTTTTTTTTTTTTTTTTTTATAGCAGAAATTTGATAGAGGTTAAATTGGCTATGAATTAAAGTTTGTTTTTTGCTATGACTTGGAGCCTGTATTTATAGTGATGCATTCTATAGTATGACGTTACTGATAGTTACATTGATGGGTTGGTCCATTTGCTCGATGCCTCCCTGATTCTGACATGTGATCTGATTGGGTCACAGCGGTCATGTGATAGCTGATAATAGGATATTGCTTAGTTTTTCGAATAGTTGACTCTGTGTTAACTTATAATAATTTTTAGTAAACTGACACAGTCTTTATAATTAGTGACTGTTTGTCTGGCCTTCATTAGCAATCACCTTCTCTTTTATTTTTTGATATTTGTTTTTTTTTTTTTTATATCTCTTTTCTATACATATTTTTTAGTGCATTCCTTCTCAATAAAAAATTTTTTGATTTTTTACCTTCCTATGAATAAATAGTATCAGATTGGTACTGTTCAATTGTAGGATGGCAGACAGATAAGCTTGATCCAGACTTTAGCAGGTTTGATGTGACAGGTTACTTGTAGATGCCAATTAGAGTAACTATATAATAATAGCACATGAAGTTAAATATAGTTCTATTTGTATATTGTTTGTACTAAATATTTATAAATAAATTTTTAACTGGTTGACTATTATGGCTGCCAAAGGTAAAAAAAAAAAAAAAAAAAATAGGCACAAAGAAAACAAATAGAAGAAAACATAAACAGAAGATATGAAATAATTAAAACAGGTCAAGGTCAAATGATTGTCAGCTTGCTAAATAAATCATACAAAAAGATTGTTCTAGACAGGTTTATAATATAAGACAAAGAAGAAGTTGACCTAATATCAGAACCAAATATAGTTCTAAATAATTTGATGACTCATTTTAAAAACCAATTTAGAAAACAAAAAACCAAACTTAATAAAATGGCAGAAGAATAAAAAAGATATATAACCTAAAAGACTGAATTAACAAGACCTGATACAAGAAGTTAGAAGAAAGAATAAAAGAAAAAGAATAAGAAAAAATACTTAGAGAGCTTAAAGTAAATATAGTCCCAAGTATATTAGGCATAAACTATATACTAATAAAACATGCAAAGAAGAGATCATAAAAGATTTTTAGAGCTTTTGCAAATTTGATTCTGGAAAAAGAAGATATATTAAAGAAGTAGAAAATTGCACAAATATATCTAATTTCAAAAAACATTGACTAAAGTTATGGCTTAAACAACATTAGGCCAATAGCACTGATTGAAACCTTTAGAAAAATTGTTATAAAAGTAGTAACAAAAAGATTAGCCAGAGTATTTACAGAAAGAAATATACTCAAAGAGCCAAACTTTGCAGGTTTGCCAGATAATTCAACAGAGCAACCAATATATATATTAAATATGATAATAGAGAAAGCACAAAAAAAGAACAAAAAAGTATGAATACTATTACAAGATATGAAAAAGGCATTTGACTTAGTTCTATTAGAAAGTCTAGAGTGGTTTTAAAAAAAGTCAAAATTATACAAAAAACAAAAAAATATATAAATAATCTTTTTTGTAAATAGTAATTAAAAGTTATTATTGCCTATAGTTTAATAAAAGAAATAATAGCAAAAAATGAAATAAACTAAAAAAAGGTAATTTTATCACTAATTTGGTGTTTTTTCTATAATTCATTATTAGAAAGAATACAAGAAGATAAAACACTAGCCTATACAGTAAACAAAAAATAACAGAAAGAATATACAATAATAATATTACAAATTATAAACAAGTAGCAATTGCATATACTAATGATACAATATAGATCGTGAACAGCAAAGCACAAATGTTAAGAATTCTAAGTATTGCAAAAAAATTCTTTAAAGTGAATGTTATTGAAATAAATAGATCCAAATCAAAGCTCATAATAATGAATATAAGAATGAAAGAAGAAGAAAGAGAAATTATGTTTAGCTATAATAAAATAAAAGAAGAATCCAAAAACAAAATCATAAGATTATTAAAGATCTGGCTAAATAGCAGAATAAGAGAAGCACTAGTCTGTAAAAAAGCAAAAAGAATAGTTAGTTAAACAGTTAAAGATTTAAAATACAAAAAGATGATGATGAGCCAAATTATATACATAAACAATATAGTAATAATTCCTAAGCTGGAATATCTCTTATAACTAACAAAAATGCCAAAAAGGATAATTGACAAAATATATTAACTATTTTTTTTTTTTTTAAATATTAATGGTGAGACCATGCCTTTAACTTTATTGAAATTCAATTGAAGTTTTTACAAAGA